ATGAGGTAATCTGTCCCTCAGCCTTGGAATTGGTTTGAAGAGCACCATAGACATGAAGACTACGGTAGTTGTGAAGAGTACGGTGCTCTTCACACCAATTTCAAGACTGAGGGAGAGATTACCTCATCTTATAGTTCTTATCTTCCAATTTTGTCCTTGAATTTGTGCTGATAAAACCACTGGATTGTAAAATGTGTAGAATAAAGATATCCAGATGTTGCACATGTGTCTAATATTCATCTTGTCAGTATTGTATACCATTCATGTACAAGTTATGGTCATGCTGTCTCATCATCTTTATTTAATTTTACATAGTTACTATTTAAATTTTAAATAGTGGTTGTGCACAACAGCCTACTCAACTCTTTCCAACCACTGAATGTAACAGGTCACCCAACTTGCAAATGAGTTGCATCCCTGGTGTTCAGACTTACAAGAGAGTTTTATAGTAAGAAAGCATTACTGTAGTAAGAGGGATGGTTATGTTTCATAAATGTTTATACTGCATACCGACAGTAGCTTATGGGAGATTCTAAAGAAAAATTGCAAAGGTTAGTGGATGAGTTTGGGAGTGTGTATAATAGTTGAAAGTTGAAAGTGAACATAGAAAAGAGTAAGGTGATGAGGGTATCAAATGATTTAGATAAAGAAAAATTGGATATCAAATTGGGGAGGAGTAGTATGAAAGAGGTGAATGTTTTCAGATATTTGGGAGTTGATGTGTCAGCGGATGGATTTATGAAGGATGAGGTTAATCATAGAATTGATGAAGGAAAAAAGGCAAGTGGTGCGTTGAGGTATATGTGGAGATAAAAAACGTTACTTATGGAGGCAAAGAAGGGAATGTATGAAAGTATAGTAGTACCAACACTCTTATATGGGTGTGAAGCTTGGGTTGTAAATGTTGCAGTGAGGAGGCGGTTGGAGGCAATGGAGATGTCCTGTCTAAGGGCAATGTGTGGTGTGAATATTATGCAGAAAATTCGGAGTGTGGAAATTAGGAGAAGGTGTGGAGTTAGTAAAAGTATTAGTCAGAGGGCTGAAGAGGGTTTATTGAGGTGGTTTGGTCATTTAGAGAGAATGGATCAAAGTAGAATGACATGGAGAGCGTATAAATCTGTAGGGGAAGGAAGGCGGGGTAGGAGCCGTCCTCGAAAAGGTTGGAGGGAGGGAGTAAAGGAGGTTTAGTGGGTGAGGGGCTTGGACTTCCAGCAAGCGTGCGTGAGCGTGTTAGATAGTGAATGGAGACAAATGGTATTTGGGACCTGACGAGCTGTTGGAGTGTGAGCAGGGTAATATTTAGTGAAGGGATTCAGGGAAACCGGCTATTTTTATATAGCCAGACTTGAGTTCAGGAAATGTGAAGTACAATGCCTGCACTCTAAAGGAGGGGTTTGGGATATTGGCAGTTTGGAGGGATATGTTGTGTATCTTTATATGTATATGCTTCTAAACTGTTGTATTCTGAGCACCTCTGCAAAAACAGTGATTATGTGAGGGAGGTGAAAGTGTTGAATGATGATGAAAGTATTTTCTTTTTGGGGATTTTCTTTCTTTTTTGCATCACCCTGCCTTGGTGGGAGATGACCAACTTTTTGAAAAAAAAAAAAAATTGGTACTTAACCCTTAAATGGTCCAAATGTATATATATGTTTTTTGAACATCTGAAAGTATGTAAAAAAATGTAGATCTTCTTTTTTGTTTTACATTTGAAAACGTGTAAAAAACTTTTATCTACATTTTTTTTGTTATATTTGAAAATATGTAAAAAAAAGCAGATCTACTTTTGTAGCATTACGAATTTGAACGTCGATCTCTTTGGACTGTTTAAGGGTTAAGGCATTTGTAAGTTGTTTACTGGTGGTATTTGCAAAGAAGTATGTTCGGTACCTTATGTTATCTTTTTCAATAATTTATGATTGCTCTTGTTCATCCTTGTGTTAGTTCTCACAGATGTTCTATCTAGTATTTCACATCCTCTCTCTCTAACCTGCGAATGGTTATCAAATTGACTTGTTTATTTCTCATTTAAGGCAAATTAAACTTTTTTTAGTCTTCAGAATTTCTTTTTGTCAGTTGCATTACCCCTTTTCTTGCATAATTAAAAAATATGCAGTATTGTAATTACTGTACATCACTTAAAATACGTACAAGCATTCTACTGCATCTTCATACTCTTAATTTTGCTTGATATGTTTTGAACAATTTCTTTAGTATATGTCCATCCATAATATATTCTGTCTAAAGTTACTCACTGTTGCATATAAGTATTTAACTGCATATATGAGGTCTTGTGGTGATAAATTTATATGATGATTCCCAAGAATGCACAGAGTCATACTTTCCACTCAGTAACCAATCCCAAAGTGAAATCACTGAGCAAAATGGTATTTGTAATTAGGCTTAAAAGATTTCTTTTTGCCAAACTGCTGAAAATTCTCTTCAAACGGTTTATATAACTGTACAAAATTTTGGTTTACAATTTTCACTACCAGCACTTTAACCCGTAAACGGTCCAAGCAGATCTACGTTCACATATGTAGTGCTACAAAAGTAGATCTAAGTTTTTTTTACATATTTCCAAATATAACAAAAAAAAAAAGTAGATCAAAGTTTTTTTACACGTTCAAATGTAGAAAAAAAAAGAAGATCTACTTTTTTACATACTTTCAAATGTTGAAAAAACGTATATATACGTTTGGACCGTTTACGGGTTAATTACTGATATATCATTTGTGGTGCTAAATAGCTCCATGTTACCTTATATAGAACCCCTGTATCCATGGGGGGATATGTTCCAAGGACCTGCTATGGATACTGAAACCATGGATAGTAGCAAACCCTATACAGCCTCTCCTCACTTAACGATGGAGCTGCGTTCCTAAGACCACGTCAGTAAATGATTTCGTCACTAAACGAGGAGCATATTATAATGGTAGTGGGTTTGTGTCAACCATCTTTGATATTGTTTTAATGTCACTTCTGCACCATTTATAACATTTTTAATATATTTTTCACTGTTTATAAAGTAGTGTACTGTATATTGTAATAAACAGACTAGAGGAAATCAGCTCTAATATACATTATTTAGGTATGCATACTGGTCGGAGAGCCCATCGTAAGTTCGAGTCGTCGGTAAACGAGTAAGTTTCTTAAGTGAGGAGAGGCTGTATATAATTCCTATACATGTACATACCTCCATTATAGGTAGTAAGTTGGTAGACAGCAACTGCCCAGGGAGGTACTACTATCTTGCCAGTGAGTGTGAAACAGAAGCCTGTAATTGTTTTACATGATGGTAGGATTGCTGGTGTCCTTTTTTTCTGTCTCATAAACATGCAAAATTTCAGGTACGTCTTATTACTTCTACTTAATAGCTTAGGTCACACTACACATGCATGTACAAACATATGTATACACACCCCTTTGGGTTTTATTCCATTTCCTTACTAGTTCTTGTTCTTGTTTATTTCCTCTTACCTCCATGGGGAAGTGGAACAGAATTCTTCCTTTGTAAGCTATGCGTGTTGTAAGAGGTGACTAGAATGCCAGGGGCAAGGGGCTAGTGACCCTTTCTCCTGTATAAAATACTAAATGTAAAAAGAGAAACTTTTGTTTTTCTTTTTGGGCCCCCTGCCTTAGTGGGATATGGCTGGTTTGTTGAAAAAAAAAATACTTATTATAAAGTTTAATTCATGAATTATGTACAATATGTGGAGAGTTATCACTTTTTCACTGATTGGAAGCACTTCACGGCTTCTCTTAGGTTTTGAAGAACTGCCAGCTTTTCTACTTTTGTGCTTTGGGGCCATTATTCTGGAAAATTAAAGAGGTATTTTTGGGCCACAGTAAACCATGGATAACTGAAACCGCAGATACCAAATCAGTGGATACAGGGGTTCTACTGTAGTTGTTTTTATTTGCATGAGGCAGTGTCCCATGATGCACTTTGTGAACTATGCCTAGTCTTAAACTTTTTTCCTTAGGAATGAGGAGGTGGATGGCAATCCAGACAATTAAGCTGAGGCGTAAAATAGCACCAGGCAGTACATTTGAAAGCATAAGGTGTATGTCAAACACAGTGTGGTTCCCTGATGTATTGGTGTATGCCAGACACTTAAGAGGTTATAAGAAGCACTAAATCCATGTAGCAATATATGGCACACATACAGTGCTACATTGGAAGTGGTGATGCATTAGGTAGGAGTTAGAGGAGAGGAGGGTTACTTCTAATGCTAAACAGGAGTCATGGTTGATGTAATAGGTTTCAGTTGTTATATAAAATTATTGATTTTTTTAAATGTGAGATTATTATTATTATAATCAAGGGGGAAGCACTAAACCCGGAGGATTATACAGCACCTGGGGGGGGGGATGTGGAAGGCATTCAGGCTTAATTTGGGGAACTGGAGCACAGATCCAATTCCCTAAATCAAGAGCCCCTCACCAACATCAAGGAACCTTCCTTGAGGGGTTTAAATGTGAGAGTTCAGAGCACATGCAGTGGTGTTAAACTATATACATATATACTTTTAGTAAAAACTGTATGGAAATTGGGATTTTTTTTTTTAGAAGTTACTAACAATTATAATATGCTGCAGTAACTCTGAAGCAACTCCCAGAGGAAGATATTATTTCTGAGCTTAAGTTCAGAAGCCACTGGTTTCTGGGCTTAAGCTACACTGATATGCTGTGAACATTCTACATGCCGTGGTGTAGTTTCTAAGCCAAGATGTACAGGTTTTTATTTTTGTGTCTTACAGCACCATTTTCTGCATATTGTTAGTTAATGGCACTCTGGTGTGTAAAGTAGAACTTCTAATCTCTCCCCCTTTTTTTTTTTCGGAGACACGCACACATTTATTTATAAATATTTGTGTGCATTTTTGTGACAATATATTTTATTTCCAGTTTATGAGTGGCTGTAATTCCCACCTCATCCCATTAATAACTGTTATCACCAAAACTAATTAATGATTAATTGTTTTTTATTTTCATAGGAGGTCCACTAGGAACTCTCCCATACTCAACTGAGAGGATTCCTGCATTTGCTGTTCTGTCCGTGTTGATGGTTGTGCTTCTGGTGTGCTACTGGTACAGATCCCGTCACCGTCCAAAGCGCCGACGCAATAAACTCCGTAAAGTGGTCATGGCTGCTATTAATGGTCGTCTGCCATCAGTGTGACCCTCCCATCTCCCAGTGTGTTTTAAGAATGTAAGCCTGCTTTGCAGTACTCTATCTTAATTTATAATAGAATGTAAAATACAGTGATTAATTGATTAAATTTCTTTATTTTATATTTTTACAAATTATTTATTACCCAATTTCTTATTAATATTATTGCAGTTGTTAGTGAAAGATAAGTTTTTTTTTTTTTAAATATTTATTGGCAGTTAGTTAAGTTTATAATAGAGTATTTAAATATATAATTGACTTTTCTTTACATTTAAAATAATAATACTGTATTTCAGTGTTTCTGTATCACCAAGTGTGAACAATTATGTAAATATAACACCACATAGGATTCAGAATCCATTTTACAGATGTTTCAATATATGTACAGTTCTGTTCAGTCTTATATACCAAAATGTGGTATTTTATTAATGTCTTTGTATAGCTCACTTGATAAATTCCATACTATTAGCCAGGTCTTTAGTAATGTAAATAGAGAATAATTCAAAGAAAATAATTGTACATAATTGTAATAAAAAAAACAGATATGATCAAGTCTGTTTTAGGCAACTAAAAAAAATTCTATCTACAGTTATGATGAAAAATGTTTTGTCCAAAAACATATTTTATTAGTATTTTATAGTATTTTAAGTGTGATAGTTGTGATAATTACAGTACTTTGTTAATAGTTGCAGGAAATATTGTTGAGTACTGGTTCAGTTAAGTGTCCTACTGTTGATATAAACAAAATGGGTCAGAGTCTTAGTAAATGATAAGTTTGTAAACTGTAGGATCACTTGGTGGCTAATTAATTGTGCAGAACAGTACAGTACAGTATTACTGTATATCTACTGGCACTGGATCAATTCTGTAGTGAAATATTTATCCATCATTTTTAAGGTTTATATAGTTTGTGATACGTGTAGGCATTATTTATGTGATTACCTATTCTAATGCAAGTCCACAGTTCTCAGTTAGTTCCATGATATGGCAGTGAATAATTAAACTAATTACTATAATTTGTCTGATGGATTATTAATTGGTCAACCACTAAACATATAACAGTACTGTAACTGTTTATTGTTGAATACTGTACTTACACCCATGGACAGGCATATTATAATGTTAAATTTTATCATAGATTTCCCTATTATTTTGCCATACACTTGAGATGCTGACAGAACACAAAATGCTAAAATTTTCAAATCTGTTAACATGTGATGCTGTCTAATTAATTGCAAAGTTAAACAGAAAAGGATAACCATCATGCTGTATGGTTGGTTAAGTAGATAATGTTCACTAGTCAAATGATAATTTTGTAGGCAAGGTTATGCTTGAATTAGTTTTATATGAACGGTATAATACATTAGCATCTTTGAATATGCTAAAATAAGTCAATAACATTTTTAATTTATGAATAAGGTTTGATGTTACTCTAAGTATAGTTGTCAGATGTGTGCATCATGTTCTGTTTTCTCTCTATCTGTGTGAATTATGTATTACAAGAACGTACCCTTAAATGTGAAGTCATTTTTAAATTGATAATGACATTAGTTTCTTGGTTTATTAGCTTTTAAATCCAGTGTGAGAGCCAGTAATGTATAAAAGATATTATACTTTGTTGGAAAATTCTTAGTAGTCAGTAGAAGTTTAATATAAAGTTTTGAATTCTTTTATTTGTTTCAGAGCTTTATACCCAAGTAATATGCTTTAATTTCAGTGAGACTGAAGTTGATAAAAACAGCGAAAAGTTACGAGTAATTTTGTAAAACTTCCAACTCGACTTGAAAAGTATTGTAGATTGTTAATTACTGTATATACCCTGGTTATGTTTGTGGTAGCTATGGTTTATAGGAGTTTGTTTTGTTTAGTAAATTAATAAAAACCAAAGAATTTTGTTTTGTAGACAAAAAAATTCCATATAGTTCAGTATTGAATTTAAAATTATCTTTGTTCTTGCATGCATTTATTTTGTATTGATGAGCAGCACACATTTTGTAAGTACTGGTTAGTTATTCTTTTCTTATTAATGTAAATTTTCATTTTTTTTTTTCTGTAGTGTCTTGGATTTTTATGTATTGCCCTTTCATTAAGTGGGAAAAAATATGCTCAAGATATTTAGAGTTTTTATCACTGAGAATGGGCTTAAAAAAAGCACTGCATGAACATAGCAGCAGTTTTTATAGAGGAAAATGTATATACCTTAGCTGTCATTCAATTTTAATGATCAAGTTATTGTATGGCACAAGTTAGTGTTATATTAGACCACATAGCTTGTATTTTATGTTTTACAATAATAGGTGTTTATTTTGGAGCAAGTATAAAAATTTTGATGTATTAGTATCAGTACTGATAGATTATGACTTTAACCCTTAAACTGTCCAAACAAATTTACGTTCACATGCGTAGTGCTCCAAAAGTAGATATACGTTTTTTTACATATTTTCAAATATAACAAAAAAAAAGTAGATCAAAGTTTTTTTTTACACATTTTCAAATGTAAAAAAAAGAAAAGATCTACTTTTTTTACATACTTTAAAATGTTGAAAAAACGTAGATCTACGTTTGGACAGTTTAAGGGTTAACTAATTACTAAACAGAAGTATATTTTCGTAGGTATTCTTTCATTTAAAGGGCTTTATTTAATAAGTCAAAGTAAGTATCAAAACTTAGTGGATATATTATATCCAAGATATTTATAAAATCATGTTACTTCAATAGCATATGCCTCAGACTCTTAAGAGGTTACAATTGGCTAATTTTTCAATACATATACTAGTTACTCCAAATATGAATAATGTGTGAAAAATTGATGAGGAATTATGATGAATATAACCTGTCTTATAAAGGGGGTCATCTTACTAGTGAGCTGCTTCCAGTAAAACCATGAGCTGGTAAGCACAATATTGTGGACTAAAACTAAGCTGTCAATTTTTTTTTTAATTCAAGCAAACTTTGCAGTATTATAAAAAGTAAAAACATCTTATGCTTTTCTCTCTAACATAGTGACTGATACTTTTTTATTAGAAGATTGAACTGATAAACAAAATTAACCATGTTCTCATGAAAGATTTAAATACATTTTTCTGAATCTGTTTTAAACACTGACTCCAAATCTGTTCTTATTTTTTCATTCATTTTTAATTTTGACTAGATCTAGGATGATGATGTAAGTCACATATTAGAATAATCACTCATAATTTAATACCTTTAGAACACGCTTATTGAAAGGAAGTGCAAAAGAACTTAAAAACATTCTCTTGTAAATTTTGTCTGGCTTGTTGCAGTACAACATCCAGCAGTAGTCTGCCATCATAATTTCATTCTGGAAACATTAGCAGCAATTTTTTGGCACCAGTACCTGTCAGTTAGTGTTCATTCTGTTTTAAGTGCTAATCAAGGGTCGACAAAGGCCTATGCAGGATTGCCTGTCGAGATACCTTAGTGGGTAACCCTTTATCTTTACTTTGACACTTAATTTGAGGTACTTGCAGTGCCCAAATAAATCTGAATGACCACTGTTCCCCAGGAGAGTCATTTTATTAATAGTTGGTGGAAAGGAAAGACTGGCCAGGTCCTTGTTTCTATCCACTTATAAGCCATAATGTTGGTGGTTCCGGCCCATTTCGTCGCTTAAAATCGTAGAAGCCACATTGTTAGCTGTTCTGGCCCATTTCTTCTTCTAAAATCAACTCAAATCTTACTCCCATATGCAACCCCAAATCCACATCATGTGTCAATTGGCAGCTGCACCATCGTTTCTTCCTTTGCAATAATCGACTCCATCAGGCTTTCTCATTGCCTACCAACTGTTGCTCACAAATATTTAAGCACACACAAACAATGCCATTTATTACTTAATTCAGGCAGCCAACAATGAATATGACCAGTTAAACAGACACCAACAGTAGATGCCAACCTTATCTAGGAAACAGACATAATATCCCTTTATTAAAGGCCAAAAAAGGCCAAAAAAATGATGAATAGTCTTATCTTGAAAACCATACCTGGTACATGGCAGAGAAAAACCAAAAACACATTCTGGAATCAGCACTGAAAAAGAAGTAGTACACCAAAAAAAATTCTGATGAAAATTCTTTGTTGACCATTGGGATTATTTTAAAGTTTGTCCATAAGGATCACTTTAAATTTTTCTCAAAAAATAGTAAATTTAGCAGTTTCTGTATAACCCTTTGTCAAGGAATTACTTTAAACTTGGACACATTGTGAATATCTTGGCTTACTTGGTGTAAGCAAGTTAATTTTATTTCTTGGCATACAGATGTACAGAAATATAAATTCGAATAAAATATGCTATGAAAGAAAATATCATTTGGAATAAAATTTTGCATTCAAGGTTATAACACTATTATTATTATAAGTAACAGTAGTAATTATTATTTTTTTTATTATAAGGAACTGTAGTACTGTACTGTAAACGGCAGGAAAGTGTTTGCAAAACTGGTTGATAACTTATGAAGTCACTGGTAAGAACACACATAAACTACCCCCATAAAATATTACCTCGATGCACAGGTTAAAACATTTTTTGCTTGAAAAAATATGATGTTCAATTAATGATTATTATTATTATTATTATCATCACAAAAAATGAAAAGCGTGAATGATCATCTAATTAATAAATGCTGTGTATAATGCATGTGAAGGATGTGATAAAACTTTGGCTTTCCTTGCAAACCCAGATAATTTCTACTACATCGTTATATTATTTTTTACATTTATGACTAGGATTTTTTATATTAATACTGCTTTGAGAGCACTGTGTAATCTGAACATGCAGAGAATTGACAACATAGAAATTTGAAGATTGTGTGTGGTTGTGAGAGATGTAATTCAGAGGCCAGAGGAGGGGTTGTTGAAATGGTTTGTCATTTAGAAAGGATGGAGCAGAAGAGGATGACCAAAAGGATGTATAAATCTTGAGTGGAAGAAAGTGGCAATAGGGGTGAAAGATGTATTAGATAGTCAGGGCTGGAGTATCCACGAGGCTTGTATGAGTGTGTTAGATCAGAGTGAGTAAAGACAAGTGGTTTTTATGATCTGATGTGCTGTTGGAGTGTGAACAGGGTAATATTTATGAAGGGACTTAAGGAAACTGGTTAGCCAGACTTGAGTTCCAGAGGCAGGAAGTACAGTGCATGCACCCTGAAGGAGGGGTCTTGATGTTCAGAGCTGCATTTGATATGTAATGTCTGTGCACTTCTGGCTAGACAGCTACTGCATGAATGATGGTGAATGTGTTTTTTTGTAGGGGGGGATCACCCTACTTTGGTAGGAGATGGCCTGTGTGGTAAAAAAAAAATTACTAATAGAAACTGGTGTCATTTTAGATATCAAAAAAGGTGTCACAAGAGGATCCTTAAAGTCTTGCTTAATACTTAAAAAGAAAAGGTTGCTGAAGTAATACCTAAGAAGTTAAATGCAAGATGGGCATTAAAGCTAAAATTAAAACAGTCTTGATGTGTAGAAGTGAAGTATGGGGACAAGCATGGGTGCAGGATGTAGATTTTATTTTTTTTTTTAACACGTTGGCCATCTCCCACCAAGGCAGGGTGACCTAAAAGAAAGAAAAACCCAAAAAGAAAGAAAAAACTTTCATAATCATTGTCTTTGTAGAGGCGCCCAGATACAACAATTTAGATAGTCGCTCCAAACTGCCAATATCTCATACCCCTCCTTTAAAGTGCAGGCATTGTACTTCCAATTTCCAGGACTCAAGTCTGGCTAACCAGTTTTCCTGAATCCCTTAACAAAATATTACCCTGAGCAGGATGTAGAAATTTTTTTTTTATTTATTATCACACCGGCCGATTCCCACCAAGGCAGGGTGGCCCGAAAAAGAAAAACTTTCACCATCATTCACTCCATCACTGTCTTGCCAGAAGGGTGCTTTACACTACAGTTTTTAAACTGCAACATTAACACCCCTCCTTCAGAGTGCAGGCACTGTACTTCCCATCTCCAGGACTCAAGTCCGGCCTGCCGGTTTCCCTGAATCCCTTCATAAATGTTACTTTGCTCACACTCCAACAGCACGTCAAGTATTAAAAACCATTTGTCTCCATTCACTCCTATCAAACACGCTCACACATGCCTGCTGGAAGTCCAAGCCCCTCGCACACAAAACCTCCTTTACCCCCTCCCTCCAACCCTTCCTAGGCCGACCCCTACCCCGCCTTCCTTCCACTACAGACTGATACACTCTTGAAGTCATTCTGTTTCGCTCCATTCTCTCTACATGTCCGAACCACCTCAACAACCCTTCCTCAGCCCTCTGGACAACAGTTTTGGTAATCCCGCACCTCCTCCTAACTTCCAAACTACGAATTCTCTTGGAAGTTAGGAGGAGGTGCGGGATTACCAAAACTGTTGTCCAGAGGGCTGAGGAAGGGTTGTTGAGGTGGTTCGGACATGTAGAGAGAATTACTATACATAGTATTACTATACATAGTATTACTATACATAGCAATGAGAAAATGGTATACATTAAGAATTTAAGAAAGGTAGGGGGTGTGTGGACCAGGTGTTTACAGTGAAACATATAAGTGAACAGTATTTAGATAAGGCTAAAGAGGTCTTTGTGGCATTTATGGATTTGGAAAAAGCGTATGACAGGGTGGATAGGGGGGCAATGTGGCAGATGTTGCAAGTGTATGGTGTAGGAGGTAGGTTACTGAAAGCAGTGAAGAGTTTTTACGAGGATAGTGAGGCTCAAGTTAGAGTATGTAGGAAAGAGGGAAATTTTTTCCCAGTAAAAGTAGGCCTTAGACAAGGATGTGTGATGTCACCGTGGTTGTTTAATATATTTATAGATGGGGTTGTAAGAGAAGTAAATGCGAGGGTCTTGGCAAGACGCGTGGAGTTAAAAGATAAAGAATCACACACAAAGTGGGAGTTGTCACAGCTGCTCTTTGCTGATGACACTGTGCTCTTGGGAGATTCTGAAGAGAAGTTGCAGAGATTGGTGGATGAATTTGGTAGGGTGTGCAAAAGAAGAAAATTAAAGGTGAATACAGGAAAGAGTAAGGTTATGAGGATAACAAAAAGATTAGGTGATGAAAGATTGAATATCAGATTGGAGGGAGAGAGTATGGAGGAGGTGAACGTATTCAGATATTTGGGAGTGGACGTGTCAGCAGATGGGTCTATGAAAGATGAGGTGAATCATAGAATTGATGAGGGAAAAAGAGTGAGTGGTGCACTTAGGAGTCTGTGGAGACAAAGAACTTTGTCCTTGGAGGCAAAGAGGGGAATGTATGAGAGTATAGTTTTACCAACGCTCTTATATGGGTGTGAAGCATGGGTGATGAATGTTGCAGCGAGGAGAAGGCTGGAGGCAGTGGAGATGTCATGTCTGAGGGCAATGTGTGGTGTGAATATAATGCAGAGAATTCGTAGTTTGGAAGTTAGGAGGAGGTGCGGGATTACCAAAACTGTTGTCCAGAGGGCTGAGGAAGGGTTGTTGAGGTGGTTCGGACATGTAGAGAGAATGGAGCGAAACAGAATGACTTCAAGAGTGTATCAGTCTGTAGTGGAAGGAAGGCGGGGTAGGGGTCGGCCTAGGAAAGGTTGGAGGGAGGGGGTAAAGGAGGTTTTGTGTGCGAGGGGCTTGGACTTCCAGCAGGCATGCGTGAGTGTGTTTGATAGGAGTGAATGGAGACAAATGGTTTTTAATACTTGACTTGCTGTTGGAGTGTGAGCAAAGTAACATTTATGAAGGGATTCAGGGAAACCGGCAGGCCGGACTTGAGTCCTGGAGATGGGAAGTACAGTGCCTGCACTCTGAAGGAGGGGTGTTAATGTTGCAGTTTAAAAACTGGAGTGTAAAGCACCCTTCTGGCAAGACAGTGATGGAGTGAATGATGGTGAAAGTTTTTCTTTTTTCGGGCCACCCTGCCTTGGTGGGAATCGGCCAGTGTGATAATAAAAAAAAAAAAAAAATATTAAGAATTGACAGTGGGGGTAAGTATGGACTAGAGACAAAGTGATTAAAAAAAGAAAAAAATTGTAAGATTTGAGTTTGGAATTATTGCAGGTGGAAAGGATAAAAAAAGTACGAGTTACATATAAATACGTATAAGGTTGTTACCAGGTAACAGAAAAGTATGCTTTTAGCCTTGAAAAGTCTCGAGTGATTACTGGTATACTGGGCAGGTCATACTTGGTATTACAGGGAATGTATCATTCAGGTGCATAAGGCAACACCAACTATTTAGTAACACACACACACACACACACACACACACACACACACACACACACACAGCATTCCGATACCTTAGTAAGGAATCATTCAAGACACTGTACACCGTGTATGTCAGGCCCATACTGGAGTATGCAGCACCTGTTTGGAACCCGCACTTGATAAAGCACGTCAAGAAACTAGAGAAAGTACAAAGGTTTGCGACAAGGTTAGTTCCAGAGCTAAGGGGAATGTCCTATGAGGAAAGATTAAGGGAAATCGGCCTGACCACACTGGAGGACAGGAGGGTCAGGGGAGACATGATAACGACATATAAAATACTGCGTGGAATAGACAAGGTGGACAAAGACAGGATGTTCCAGGGAGGGGACACAGAAACAAGAGGCCACAATTGGAAGTTGAAGACACAAATGAGTCAGAGAGATAGTAGGAAGTATTTCTTCAGTCATAGAGTTGTAAGGCAGTGGAATAGCCTAGAAAATGACGTAGTGGAGGCAGGAACCATACACAGTTTTAAGACGAGGTTTGATAAAGCTCATGGAGCGGGGAGAGAGAGGGCCTAGTAGCAACCGGTGAAGAGGCGGGGCCAGGAGCTAGGACTCGACCCCTGCAACCACAAATAGGTGAGTACAAATAGGTGAGTACACACACACACACACACACACACGCACGCGCACGCACGCGCGCGCACACACGCACGCACACACACACACACACACACACACACACACACACACACACACACACACACACACACACACACACACACACACACACACACACACACGCACACACACACACACACACGCACACACACACACACACACACACACACACACACACACACGCACGCACGCACACACACACACACACACACACACACACACACACACGCAAAAGAATCACATTGCCTTATAATATAAATTTATGATGCTCATATTCTGTTATAGAAAAGTGACAAGGGTGCTACTATTAGGAAGACACAAGGAAAGTTAATTACTCTGTCTTTTGTATATTATAGTAGGTTTTTAAATATTTCTTGTTGCATACAATACGTGTAAGGAAATATTACAGATGTCTAAAAAAATTAGTTGGAAGTACAGTACTATACTTGGGAAATTAAAAAAGTGTGGAAATTGGCTAACGCGATGGTCTGGAGTTTTGAGACTCTCTGATCGCGGGTTCTATCCCCGCCCGTGGTATGGTTTGTTTGCAATCGTGTCATTACGATTTCGTGAGTCATAAGGCAATCTACTAGCTGATGCCAGATTGGTATTTATTTATTTTATTTATTTATTTTATGTCTTTGCAAACAGTACATTGAGATTTTGTATTTACAATAGTGGGTTGCAAAGCAAAGAGAGCCTCTATTATGCTTAGGCATTATGGGCCAACTTAACATTATTGATCAGTATTCATAAGTGTTGTGACTGGGGAAAAAGATAAGTAAATACAGCCTCTCCTCACTTAACGATGGAGTTCCATTCACCATTTATAACATTTCTGGTATATTTTTAAATGTTTGTACAGTAGTGTACTGTATATTGTATTAAACAGAATAGAGGAAATCAGCTTTAATATGTATTATTTAGGTATGCATATTGGTCAGGGAGCCTGTTGTAAGTCCGAGTCATCGGTAAATGAGTACGTTGCTCAATGAGGAGAGGCTGTAATGATAATGAATAAGATTCATGTAATGAAACAAAATGCAGCCAAAGACCATCCAAAACTATTTTATATGCAATGGATTTATGTAATTTGTGAATAACATTACCAGTCGTTAGGTATCCACAATTATCATTTAAAAGCCTAAATAAGTGTGTATACCATATGAACAAAGATTACTAAAAGATTAATATTAAAGTCATTTGTATGTAGTACAGTTCTCTCAAAATTTCACTAATACATTAAGAGCTTCTAACAACAACCAATTCATATTTTATGTGTATAGTTTACTGTAGAGTACTCTTATTTTATTATTGTGCTGTGTATTTTAAAAATTTATTTGAGTAAATTACAGTGACTGCAACAGGTCAGACAGAATAAAGCCCTTTACATTTTTTTTTTTGATTTTGTCAATGTGGATTTCTGGAATGTGGAACTGAACACTAAATGCCCTTCCTTGTTTAAGTTATCATCATAATCTTAAATAAGGAGATAACGTCGTATAGTAATTCATTCGCTGCAAACCAAGGTC